TGACAGTCCCTTGAAAGTTTTACCACCATTACTACGACCCATTCTACTGCCAGTGTTAGTCTGTTGAGCTTGTATGACTGTATCCTTGATTTTATGTACCTATTGGGAACAGGTGTAGCTGTATTAAGTGAACCCACTAATAAGACTTTGGGCCATGAAGTGTACATATAACTAGGCATACAGCACACTTACAAAGTACATACAAATACATACTAATATAGAAATCACTCACAGTCCACCTTTAGGTCACACCACATACACCACTGCCTACAACACAATCAGTTTCACTTCTTAGCGCTCACCTCTTGTCTAATTTCTGTTCATTTTTGCATCCTAAATTTACCCCTTGGAGACATAGACACCTCTGAAAATATATGAGCTTGATTGGAAATCATTTAACAGGTTGCTCTAAAGTGAAGTGATGGCTGTTGATTATTACCTGCATCTCTCTCTGGTGTACTTAGTACACTTTGGTATCGCAAAATGACAAGGAACTGAGGATTTCTCACAGATTATGTGTGCATTATATTTGTTTAGACTTAAAAATACATACTGGCCCCTTCACCTTCAGGTCTGCCTGACAGCACAGTTTTTAAACCAGACAGTCAGGATTTTTCATTCTGTGAAGTACTCAGGCAAAATTAAGCAGCTGACTCATCTGTGCATCACCGCTGAAAAGGTACTGCAGGTAATCAGGTTAAAACACTGACCTAATACAATTACAGTCAAAGTAGTTTTTTGATGAACTTTTTATCTAGGACGTACGGGAACAGAGAAACTTCAAAGGAATGGAGGCTGTGTTCCAGTTGCTGTACCGTACACTGATTCACTGGCTAGTTGTAAGAACAATAGCTAATGTTGTTAGCTATTAGCTATCTGTCAATAATCAGCACAATTAAAACCACTGAAGTTGGAATGTCTTCACTGTTTTCTCTTCACTTAACTACACAAACAGGGTTAGTGAGTTAGCCAGCTTGTTGACCATTAGCTGATGTAAACAAGATGTAAACTTTAGGACAAATCTATACTATAGAAATCATTATAGAATAAAGTAACAAAAACTATTAACTTTTCATTTTTAAACTATTAACAGACAGCCCAAATTTCTGAATGGCAGTATGTGTTTATGTATTTAAAGCTAGCATTACAGCAGTTTCATCAGTGTCTGTAGAACATGACAGCAGCAAACAAGGATGAGATTGGTGGGCTTATATCACATATGTGAAATGCAACATTAGTGACTAAAGGGTATTCTGGTCTAAAACTAGCATTTAATACATTATTTGATATGTTTTACGATATTCTGTAGTGCAGCACTGCATCCTTTATGACAGAATTCATAGGTTTGTATCCTTTGTGTTTTTGTCCATCAGCGTTTTCTTACCCAACATGCATTCTGCAAATACCTCATCCAACTATTGGGAACACCCCCACACACTCTCAGAAAAACAGATATTAAACTGTCACTGGGGCAGTACCCCTCTTATCACTGGGGTGGTACCATCAAGGGTACATCCCAGTACCTTTAGCCAGGGAACATAACTGAACAAATGTACAAATACATACCTTTTCTCTGGGAAAAAAACTATTTAAGGTACACAACTGGACCTTAAAACCACTGTTGTACCTGTGAGGGAACATTTACATTGTTGTACATCAGTGTACTGATGAAGAAATTTTGACTGCTTGCATAGCTGCTGATGTAGAGGCTGATAAATGCATTTGTGAAATTTGACTTAGCAGTAACATTGGCTCGTTGGCCTTCTTTTGCATTAGCCAGCTAGCGGGATGTATCGCACTATTTATCCATCCTAAAGTGTTTTTCTTTTTTTACCTTTAAGATACATAATAGATAGATGGATGAATGGATAAATGGATGGATGGACAGATAAATACATAGATAGACAGATCACTTTATTGATCCCAGAGCAAAAGTCATCTATTACAGCAGCCCAACGAACACTAAAGAGCAAAACAAGAGCAAAAGTGTTGCCATACGCTATTATACAGAAGCATAAATAGAAGAAGTAAATATATATATATAATGAAAGCGTCATTCTACAGAAACGTACACTTTTTTTATTTATCCATAGGAGTCACTGATCGTCATTGGTGTTACACATAAGGTAATACCAGAGACATTTTTAATGAAAAATGCATTTTACAAAATGACTACAGAGCATCAAACCATCACATGTTATCAATCATAGAATATTCACTTAAACATGTAATTTAATCCATTGGTATTCTATTTTTTCCCAATTACCTAAGAATAAAGTAGGTCATACCGGTGAATTCAACTAAAAGCTTTGTATGAAATCATGAGCTAAATCAGAAAATTTCTGATAACTGAAAAGATACTGTGGACGTACCATGTGCTTTTTTTCATAGATCTTCAGAAAATAGGTAAAAGGAAGTCAAGTGATGTCATCAGTGTGATTTTTATTTTAACATAAAAGATCTTACACAGTAACACCAGTGACACGACTCCTGGGGAAAACAGCTTTCATTATATATTTCATATTTGTTTGGCATTTGTTTTCTTTACATCATTTAAATCATATATTTCATACTCATGTATGGTTTATTCCAGTTAGAATTGCAGAAACACGTACAAAATATGGCACTCAGCCATTACACAAGACTGTGGGGACGAGCACTTCTGTGGTGCTTGGAATTCTATGTAATTGATTTAAAAACCAAAACTGCTAAATTGATGGCTCAAAAAAGTTGTTAAAATAACATTTTGTTTATTTTAAAATATAAATAAATTATAACCCCAAAATGTTTTTCAAGTGTCATATATCTGTAAATGCTAGGAACACAAAATGGATGTTTCCATAGAATGACTCATACTAAAGCAATCATAAAATATAATGTATGAGAAGGTGGCTTCAAACCAGAAAGACTAGACACTACTGGATGTGAGTAGGCATGTTTAAAACACACATAGCAATGGTTACATTTTTCATTTTGGCCAGAGTGACCCTTAATGGGGAATTCCACTGGTTTTTAAACATTCTTGCACAGTTCAATCACTGTGATGTAAACAAAGTCAAACAAACTCAGATCCCTGCTGAAAAAAAAACATCATATATCAGCATGAATTCCATGCTCATCTAAGCTGGATTATGTTGGTCTACTGCTGGTTTAGCTGGTGACCAGCATACCAGTGCCCAAAACACAACATATGCTGGCTTTGCTGGTGACAGACTATGCTGATCTATGCTGTTTTTTCTGTCAGATTTCTTTACAGTGGTGGTGATAGGAACCAGGGGTCACAATGTCTACAACACAAATATAGACATGTTATATACTATCCAAAACCACCAGTGAACCTACTGTCTTCTCAGTTTTTATATGCAGTGTTGATGATGGTAAAATAGTGGTAAACCTGAAGAATCTTTTTTGGGGGCTATTTTATCTTATAACACTCTGTATATAACCTTCAGCCATCAAGGAATTTTAAAAATACGAGTCTGTGTGAAGCTGTGTGGGCCACAGTGGCTCTCGGAGTGCACCACACTTGCAAATAAGAAGGACGCGTTGTTGCTGTTATTAGCTAGTGTAGTTGTGTTGCTTACAGTAAACTGTGTCCGATGAGGGTGGGCTTTGTAGTTAACTAGAAGTTAGAAATGTCTACCCTGTTCGACTGTCATGTCCTCACGCTTACTCTTCCCTGTGTTTTGTATTGGGAAAGGCTGGGTTGGGCATTTCTTGTTGTCTGTTGAAGTGCCTGTTTAAAATAAAACAACATTCACCTATATGTACTATGTTTTCCGTGTCTTCTTCTGAGCCGACGTTACAAATAAATTACAAAATAATAAAAGCTTCTCTCCAGAACAAAGCATTTCACACTAAACCGCTCTGAACTACGTTGTTTACATCTTAATTATTTAATTAGGGAGAAACTTCGATGGAATTCGTTCACTGGAGGTTTGGATCACTCCAGGTAGGCTGAAGACTTTCTAGTGCCCTATTTAGGGCACATGAGTAGCGGATTGGAGCCCGCCCGGAGCGAGTCGTCTGGCTCGAGCGACTCTCTCTCCCGATGTCGTTTACCGTCGAAGCTTCAAAGCAGCATCAGTTCATTGTGAATTAAAGAGATGTTTTCTTTAGGTTTAATCTTCAGTCTGACGGACCGCTTCTGGTCAGAGATGCTATGCTAAAGCGAAGAAATACAGAGCGAACGACATGGGAGTGATTTGTCTACCTTAAAGGGGAACTCCACTGATTTTTCAGAATTCTATATAATTAATTGATTGAAATGTAAACGACGTCACTCAGTGATTTGGTGTGAAGTTCTCTGTTCTGCAGAAACTTGCAGAGTCACAGTGACGGTGATGGGAACCAGACGTCTGAACAGTTTAATCCCTCTAAAAGCTTCTCTCCATGCTTGGTTATGAACATGTTGCTTGATGTCCGACACATTTTTAATAACATGTGTGAAGTTTTTATTTTAATCAATTCATGGCGGAGGGATACATGCAGGGTAGTGTAAAGCAAAATAGTCCCCAAAGAAAAGTCAGCTTTATCACCATTTTGCCATAATCAACGATCCAAAACTCAAAAATAAAACTCAGAAGATACATGTAGGTTCACTGGTGATTTTGATAGTAAATAAAATGCCTATATTATTATTATTCAGACAACTATTCAGATTTTTTGTACACATTGTGACCTCTGGTTTCCATCACCACCCCTGTAAAGAAATCTGAGTTTCTACAACGGACCACTTCGCACCAAACCACTCTGACTGGCTCTGTTTACATCTCAAGGACTGCATTATTCAGAATTTTTAGACATTTGGTGGAGTTCCCCTTTAAGAGCACCCGGAAGCGGTAGCTGGATGCTAGTTTCTCTCTTGTTTGTGTTTTTGTGAGTTTGAGGCGAGACTTTGGACAACATGGGAACCGCACTCGCTCGCCGGAGGAGGACGACTAGCTCTCCCCTGTGAATGTGGCCTCGGGAGGAGAAAACATGCCCGTTTTTCTCGGTGACGGCGGAGAGTCCGTCAGCAGTTTGTCAGAGGAGTCTGCTGGAGAGAAGTTGGGACTCGGAGCAGAGATTTGGAGGAGACAAAAAGGAAAGCAGACGCTTCCGCGGAAACTTTGGACTCCCAAAGAAACGAAAATGACAGAAGCGATGGAAAACAAAGCGAGGAGAAAGGGATTCTCAGGAAGACCTCAGTAGTGGATATTTTAAGGAGAAATGTAGGGTCATCTAAAGCGCTTTTCCCCAATGACAACAACGCCGAGTTGGAGTTGGAGTTTGAGAAAGTGGACTCGGCGTCTCCGGAGCTGGATCACGGATCATCGGTCGGGAATGCAGGGGAGGAGAGTGAATCAAAGGCTTCTGATTTCTCCACATCGCTGAAACTGGAAGACTTTGAGCTGTCCGACTCGGAGGGAAACGCTGAGAGTGACTCTAAGGCAGAAGGAGGAGGAGGCTGGCAGTCTAAAGAACACGTTTACTGCACTGTGTACTGCATTGCCAATGATGACTATAGGAAACCTCCTGGATCTCCAGGGGATCTGGGTGATGGAGCCCAGTCTGTTTTACCTGTTTTACCTCCTACAGACTCACCGAGTCCAGACTCGGCTGACCTGGAGCTCTACACACTGTCTGACCTCGTAGACTCCACAGAGCTCAGCAGCCTTCACAGCAGTGTGTCTGTACTGCTGACCTGCCGCATCTGTCTGGATGATGGACACATCAGGCCTCTGCACTGCTGCCAGAAGGCCGTGTGTGAACAATGTCTAAAAACCTACATCACTTCACAGGTAACACCAACTATTCACTTCAGTAACAGCTGTGATGATAATATTGATAATCACAATAATATTAAATACACAAACATCAAATTCATGTAAACATTAATATGGTAAAAGTAGATGAATTATTGTGAGCTGGTTGGGAGAACGCAAGATTTCCCCTCTGTGCTTCTATATAGTATATATTTGTTAAATTCCATCACCTGGTTTGAAGGGGAACTCCGCCTATTTTCCAAAATTTCAACACTATTAAATGGTTACGATGTAAACAAGTAATTCTAAGTGTTTTGACGTGAAATACTCCATTTTACAGAAGCTTACTGAGCAAATTGTTCTCAGTAGTGGTGATATAAAAGTCTAATGCCTGTAAAAGCTACCTCACAGCTAGACATCTTTTTGTGATAAAATAGGTTTTTTAAAAGTCACTCATGGCAGGTCAAAGTCCTTATTTTTCCAGATTCCACACATTTTACAATTATTAACATAGCATATTTAAAAAAAGAATAAATGATAGAAAAATGCTGATGGGTTTCCTGGTCGTTACGGTAAACAAAATAGGTGTGTTTGAGTTGTAGATGTTGTGACCCCTGGTTCCCATCACTACCACTGTAAAGAAATGTACAGATTAACCCAGAGTCTGTAAGTTTTTCTGCAGTGCATTATTTTAACCCCTCTCTGAATGATGATCTCAGTGACTGAACTGTGCACATATTTTTAAAAATTGGTGGAATTCCCCTTTAGTTCAATGAAGGATTGATTAGCCAAACTAGAGTTTGGATGGTAACTGCAAATAATACTGAGCTTCCTTGAGGAGAAGTTTGAAAATGATTAAACAAACATAGAATCACTACCCTGCTGAAGAAACCCATAGAAACCATTACATGTTCCTGCTGGTTAATCATAGTGTTGATATCACAATGTAAAGGATCCTAATGGTGTAACAAGTGACCAGTGGCTGATTATAAATGCATTTGATTGTTTTCTAATGGGATCTAAAGATATTGTACAGGAAACTAGTGGTCTCTTTTGGAAACCATTAAGCGAATTCCTATTAGAGATCAAAAAAGTTAAATAGCATCTAATAATAATAATAATAATAATAATAAAGACAAAAATATAAGGTGCTCTACTGGGACGTTAAAACAAGCAAAATGCAAGGTTACAATACAGACTAAAATAAAAAAAAATCAGTCAAATTTAGGAAAACACAAAGCGAGAAAAGGGGCAAGTAAGGTGGTAGTAACTTCAGGTTCCTGCAGTTGGTGTTGCACAGGGATGATCAGGCTAAATACCTGCAGGGTGTGTGATGGGATTCATAGATTGAGAAAATGTGGTACAGTGCAGTGAATGTCTTGTTTGGTATGTGGAAAATGGGTCGTAAAGCAGATGTTAATGATTGGCAAAATGAAGTGAATGCATTTGGATGTGCCAAAGGCCATAGAGTGAAGGAAGTAGCTGAATTTGGGGGTGTATCGAAGCGTATGGTCTTATGGGTCTACCAGCAGTGGCAAAATTCCCAATCTACAAAAAATTCTCATGAGAATTGGTCATCATCTTTCAGAGGAACAAAACATTCCTATCCCTGTATTAAAAATGACAGTAAAATAGCAAACAAAGTATAACTCCAGGAATTATTTTAACACAAGTGTCAGTTGCTCTGGTAGGAAATTCCAGTGACTGGGACCAAAGTAACTGAAATCAGTAACTCAGTGCTCATTTCATAACCCAAGTAATCCAGCAGAAACATATCTAACAATCATAATGCTAAGAGAGAGGCAAGATCACAAAGACACTTAACTCTGCAAATTAAGAGAGCAGTGATCCAGTCTGAGACGAGCCTGTGGCATGTATAAGAAGAGGTGGGTAGTAGCCAGTAGGGATGCATATCGGAATCATATCAGTATTGGCAGATAATTGATGATCAGTATTTGACTGCTGAATGTTTAGATGACACTGGGCTGTTCTGATTTATTCATTTTACTGCATCTGTAATCTTACAGAAATAAATGTTATATTTCTCTATAATGCTAATCCAGGTGAATTTAGGCAAGGTTCATCCACTGTATAATGTTTATGTAAGGGCCTTGACAGTACATTAAAAATATCAGATCTCAGCACCGGCCTGCAATTCCTATATCAGCGCATCCCTAGTAACTAGTGACATGCACTCAAGTAAAATGTTGACAAATTATTAATTCATTTTGGGAGGTTTATTCTGTTACATTCATTCAAATACATTGGTGATGGCATCAGTGCTGCTTTGTGATCACACCTGAGCTTTATCAGTTTATTTTAGACCAAAAGAATCCCAGACAGAGAAGAACAGGGCCTAGCAATCTTCAGTTCCTCTTCTGATCAGTGCCGGATTTCACTGCAGTTCTATAAGTTCCTCAGTACCTAAGTTGTTTTTTGACCTTCTACTTTCGTACTTCTATTTGAGTCATTATTTAACTGAATTAACAATAATTTTACTTCTGAATGGATTTAGGCTACTGTATCCACCTCTGTGTATACGTTTCTTGCTGTCATTCTATTTTTTTGTGAATTTTTTAAGTGTAAGAAGAGTTTTTGCCCAATAATGGGAGGGGGGGTCATCTTTTGCTTTAGATCTGATGCTGTTGCTGAATGCCCCATTGACCACATGCTTACCATGTGCTTTGATTTCTCCAAGTTAAAGTGTATGAACAAGTCATTTCCACATTTCTCATGTGGAAAATGTGTGAGTTCCCCTTATAATATAAGTTTGCTTCAGAAGTGTTATGAGCCAAGATATTGACATTAAGTCCTCTCTCTCGCTTGCATGCTCACTCCCTCACATTGCTTCTTGTGTTTTAAGGGGGCCCTGCCCTCTGTCATTCACTGTTTAGGGAAGTAATGTGTTTCCTGGCTGCTGTTCTGACCGGCCTGCATTACCATCAAAGAGAGAGTTGTGGGTTAATACTGCCCACATGGTGTGTCAGTAAGTTGTTAACTGGGCAAAGATCATATCTTTACAGTTTGTGTGGAAAGTCACCGAACAGCAGCATTGCATGTAGCATGCATGTTTTAAGATGATAAAACCGATCATATGAAATCCATTAACAGCTTGTGTGCTAAAGCTCCCCAGACAAAAAATTAGTCACCTTGCATGTTTAAGGTGGTATTTACTTCAGGCTCCTGCAGATGGCACTGCACGAGGATGATCGGGCTATAAATACCTGCAGGGTGTGTGACCAGATTCATAGATTGAGAAGAGGTGGTATAGTGCAGTGAATGTCTCGTTCAGTGTGTGGAAAGTGGGTCTCAAAGCAGATGTTAATGATTGGCAAAAAGAGTGATTGTGTTTGGGCGAGCCAAAGGCCACAGTGTAAGGGAAGTAGCTGAATCTGCAGGTGTATCGAAGTGTACCGTCACACTGGTCTACAAGCCGTGGCAAAAATCCCAATGTACAGAAAATTCTTGTCAGAATTGTCATCATCTTACCGAGGAACATAACATTCCTATTTCAGTATTCCAAGATGACAATTCTCATGTTCACAGAACATTTAGGAGCATTCACACATCTAAACTGGCCAGCAAGATCTCCAGATTTGAATCCTATTGAAAATCTGTAGGACTACCTGGAGCGAGTAAGGTGCCAGGGAAGGCATCCACGAAATCTGGCAAAATGTGTTTCTTAATTCTTTGATGCAAGAGTGGCTTAACGTTGATGTCGCCTGTATCCAGAAACTTTGCCAGTTCATGCCAAATCGAACCGCGGCTGTTATTCTTGCTCTTCGAGGTATTACAGGCTATTAGGTATGAAAGGTAGGTAAGAAAATGCCATATTTAACTGTGTTCACTGTATGTGTTAACTTCACTTATAAAATCAACAAAACGTCATTTTGCATACTTCATACATTTTACATACTTTGCATACAGGAGTGTTTGTGCAGTAAATATGAAGAAGGTTAAAACCCTAAATATGAATAGCTGATTATTTATAAGCTAAAGTTTACGTGACCTAGCTAAATCAGACATGACAATTATTGTAAACATTTCTGATGATAGAAAAGGAGTCCTCTGTGGGCCGTTGCCCTGGTGTGTCTGGGCAGAGACGGGGGAGGAGGCTGGAAGTTGTGTTGTACTGTAATTGATTGTTTAATCACTGAGCTCGGCCTCTCCAGGCCGTAATTACATTAGACTGCTGTTCAGTGGATGGCCTGCGTGCGGTCTGCAGGCTACATACAAACCAATTGTCCTTCTAGAGGGATCTTGTCGTCGTAATCGAGTAACGCTGGCTCGCCTGTTGCTGCTTGCCTCTCAAATGTGATTTTCACTCATATGTATGATGTTTCAGAGGTCAGGGAGAGGCCAGTTAGACAACGATATCCTTGTCCTTATCCTGAAGTTTGATGGCTGTCTGTAGGAGCTTATGCATGTGAGATTTGGTCAAAAATTGAGATGTGTTCCATGTTTTTTGTCTGGTTTCTGCATCACAAGGTCATTTCTTCATGGCTAACCTGTTAAAACAGGAGGCGTGTTATTAGTCTTGTCATAGAGAATCTGCAGTAATCCAGGACTGCCTGTGCATAATATGCATGAAAGTGATAGTTTGGCAAAAAATCTCCCTCTTAACCCAAATGTAGTGAATCTGCCATCATGACATGTTTGGTGTCTGAAGTTTGCTTCTTTAATTTTGGAGTGAATGTAGTTTATATTCCTCCAATTAGCTTCATGCTAACAGTATGCCAAAATCACCACACTTGTACAGTCAAATAGATGGAAATTGATCAAAAAGTATTAGACTCACCTACCTCATTGGTTCACCTTGTAGATATAAGGTTAAAGACGATAGCTCATCTGTTGCTCAACAGCATCTTCCAGTCCTTCAGTTTCTGACCACAGAGCCGCTCTTGGCTGAATATTTTTGGGTGGTGGACTCAACAGTGACACTGAGCTGTTTAATGGAATGGTTTGGCAAAAAAAATAGTTTTCCACTTGCAGATGTAGTCGATCAGATTTTGCTTCTTTAACAACAAGGCTAACCC